TTTAAGACAATTTTAATTGATAAAGGTGCTTAAATCTGGCTGATAATGCAATGAAATTCCTTATTTTCAAACATGTTTATTTTGAAAATACTTAGCAATACATTTTTTGGATTAATTTTTTTAATTTTAATAAACATGAAGCATTTGATTTTTTCTCATTTAAATGAGCATTTTTTGGGCAAAAGAAAAGACAAAAGAATTAACAGAAAAACAGACAAAATATCAAAGCCAAAGGGTTAGGGAGGTGGAAGGGGGAAGAAAGGAACGAGTACAAACAAAATGTCATTTCAACTTGATTCCGATTGAGGAATGCCTGTGATACATCCATTCAATGGAAGGTTTCTTATTTTGGCTGACGTAGGTAAATGCCAACGCTTTCTAGTTCGTCAACCCGCATCGTCTAAAATTGCCAGTGAAACTTTAAAATTTCAGTAGCACTCGAAACATGGTATTGACGTCATGCTGTAAAATTTTTGGGCCTTTAATAAAATCAAAATAAAAATACAGAATAAATAAAGTGGCCGTTCATGCAAGTTTACTATTATTCCACCTATTGATGCTGAGGCAAAAGTATTCAAGTTTCAGTTCAAATTCATAGACTTCTCTCATTTTGATCTATGTCACAAAAATATGGCAAGACATTTGATGAGAATTGATATCAAAAAAAGAAGAGGACTTTATTTTACGATTTTTTACCAACTTTCATAAAGTTAGTAAATTGCTACATGTTTAATACGCTTTCAAATAATTTAGATGACAAATTTTCTAAATTTATAAATGATGGACGAACAGTTCACCAACCTTTCCATCTATAACATGCGCAAACAAAAAAATATTGACACAAGTTATTTAACTCATTTAAGAACTAGTTTCGTTGACATCGTCGAAATTAGCTCTATGAAGACATTAAAAATGAAATAGTTTTTTCATCATCTTTAATCATGGGGAATATCTAGTGGAAATGAATGAAAATTTCTTGCCACTAATCTGAAGCGAAATTTGCAGGATTTGCGAGAGATGAAATGCCTATTTATTGTAAAGAATCCCAGCTCAAATAAATAACTTTGCTTTTGAAATTATTAGAATTTATAAGTCCGATTTAAAGTCGACACGACAGAATTTTGATAGCTCTTTAATAGAAGCTTGTGGGACACGTCAGCGCATGCCTGCACGCCAGGATTGGGAGTTGCGACCGTACAAACAGTGACCAATCATTAACCTCTGTTTGTTTAACCTGATCCGCCAACCTGATCGTGATTATGCTTTCTGCGTGTACACTTTATCCGCAACATACCCACTGAATATACGTGCTCCGTGCTACACGTCTGTTTCCTTTATANCTAGCTAGATGTCGGAGAATCTGCCATAGAGATTTCTGAGTCAGTCAGGCTTTACTAAGGTAGCAATCCGCTACAAGCTCCTAATCATTATTTAAAAGTCGTTCAGGTCATAACCGCCTTTCATCACTGTATGCCTACTTTATCATGCAAATAAAGAAAATTAACAATTGGACCATATTTTACCTATCCTCAAGTGTCAAGCTGGGTTAACGGTGAAGAGAAAAGAAAATACATAACTTAATTTTGGATTACCGGGGAAACAATAATTGATTACTTATTCTTATGTTGTCATGCATACTTATCGTAAGATAGTGAGAATCCAATGGAAATAGCAAAGCTGTAAGTGAGAGAATAAAATGTCCGTATTCTCGAGACTGTTTAAACTAGTTCCTTTCTGATGGGAAATGTCTAGATATTCACAGTTTATTTTAACAAAAAAACTACTTACTATTGATACAGGCGGTGTTACACAAGAGGTGACTGAGACGTTGCGCTCCAGTTTCATACCTTGTCTTTAGGGTTAAGGTGAGTCACAATTCCAGTTTAAGGTTATTCATAGCAGTAGGTATCAAGTAGATTCGTTATATGTCTACTTTGAATTTAATTGCTTAAGGCACTCTTAAAATGGCATAATTTCACACCACTCTTCTCGCCACAAATCATGTATGTTCATTAATACACTTCTTTGATCATAGTGATACCAATCACCAAAATATGATTTTTTGATGGGGGAAATAGATCTCTTTACTCAATCATAGGGGGAAGAAAGACATTCGACATGACCTATGTCAACGTTTGAAGTGAGTGACACAAACGCATCATCGTCCATTAATTTGCAATCTTTCAATGGTACACGTTGGCACAGATATGGGCAAAAATATGTGCCTAATTGCATGATAACCAGCAGTTGTGAATATCCATTTGAGAGCAATTTACTTCACTTAAGCTGAAAGTATATTTTAAAGAAATATCTATTAATTTAATTACCTCAAATTCACATCAAGTCAAATTGTTCAGAAATCTTCACAGACAGTAGGCTGATGTTAAATTAACAATTTTGATTATGATATAATTATTTTATTCATTTATTTTATTTATTTTTTTATTTCCTAAATTGGCCATGCCAATTTGATTCATTCACTTTCAGTGTATTGATTTGGATCTAATTCAATAAATAGTATTTGTTTAAAAATGTCACCTATTTCTGAGAATTGTAAAATCTTCTTAACTGGAGTCACATAAGATTTGGGCAATGCATTAGATCCCAAGAATGACATTCAATTTTTTCATGAAATCTGAAGGCATTTGGGAGTAAAATAAAAGACATCATAGTGTTAAATTGCCAATATGACATTGATGAGTATTTTCTGCTAACAACGAATGAAGTTGCCTTCTAATGATTTGTTATTTACAGGCCACAAAGGAGACTTGATAGTGATTACAAGGGTAGAGCAGAGTAGAGCAGAACAGAGATAAAACTTGCATTCAAAACTATTCAAGCAAGTAAACAAGTTCACAATCATTGGGAATATCGTTACTCATTCGAAAACTTCCCTCCATACCTTTCGCATCTTGTCAATTAATGTTGTCAATTAGAGTAATCGACATTAACTCAAGTTGAATAGATTTTTTTGAAATGTAGTTTAGATCAAGAAAACAATTTTCAATTGTCGATTCAACGAAGTTAGTGAAATAACGGTTCTTGGTTGTTAATCAACTGAAATGTATGACGATGTGATATACACTGGATTGGGCTATATTGGTGATGATCAATTGTCCACATGTGTTTAACGTTTAAAATGAACAATAATTTTAATAGATAATAACGACTAAATATGTCTTCAATTTATAAGTCTAAAGATTATTCATCGAAGATGCATGTAAATGCAAATTTCTTGAAGGTAACTTGAATAAACCAATATATTCGTGCCACCTTTTGCATTTACGAATTATTTTAAAATTGGAAAATTTACTTTTAGTCATTCCTTTAAGCAAACACGCTAATGTGGGAAAAATAGAGAAGAGATTTCACGAAAATATAATCGAAGTAAGAACCTGGAATTCACTTTTTCATTGACTAATAAAGCATTGAAATGCATCTTACTTGAGCATTAATATTGCATTCATTTTTCCATTTTACGAAAAATTTTCATTTAGCTTAATAAATCAATAAATGAGTAATTTATTCATTGTTTTTATTGCTCAAATCATTTTTTTTAAAGAATGATGAATTTTCGAAGTACGTCATAAGGATATGAGTTCAAATAGTCGGCGACTGCGTAAATAATGATCCACTACACCTTTATTCAAAAAGCCAATTTACGTTGAAATTCTATAAAACCGTTTTGCTTGTGTACACTTGTATCTAATAAAAGAATGGGTGGCCAATAATTTATTTCGATTATTTGTATAATGCTAAGGTAATGAATTATTATGTTTGTATGGGCTGATATACACGCTCTGACCTCCAGATGTGGGTGGGAGATTTAATTATACTAGAACATTATGGTAAATGGACATGACCAGAAATTTATTGAATAAATTACAAAACTTCCTATGGAAATGGTGTTAAATCAGACTAAATAGTGAATGACTAGGGATATTTTCAGTTATTAAAAGTGAGAGAAAGCGATTGATCGAACAACCTACTAATTTACGAATAGTGATTTACTATGTCTTGCCACGAAAATGTATTTGATTAAAGCAAGCGTGTCATCGCATTTCCATTCCACGCAATACTATTTTTTGAAATATGTGTACCTACTAAATAAGTTGCTAAGTTTGAAAATTCAAGATATTATCTATCAATGCAGTGGCACTATTATGTAATTGAATAAAAGTATTAACTCACTTTTGGATTGTAATTATATTAATTTTTATCAAACATTGTGGTTTGAATCAAGATGAAAGGCAATTTTACAGGGAAATAAGTCAGGAATAACATTAGAGCTAGAAATTTATAAAGAAAGACAACCAATTGAAGTCCGACCACATTCATTAAAAATTCCTTGACGCGGTCCCAACTTTCTCACTTATTTATGTGTAGTTGAAAGAAGGATAAAATATTTATTATAATTGTAGTGTAATATATCAACATTAATTTTATGCAACATTCGTTTGAAATTAAAGTTGGGCCCTGAAAGTGAGAAGATCTTAAGAAATAAAGAATGAAGAGAATTATATGTAAATTATTTCATAGTATTTCTTCAAGTGGTAAAAAGACTGTCTGTCTCATTTTAGTTAAAGTGCAGATGAATAAGTCTGATTTTGCCTGTTAATGGCATATTTATTATACTGAAATTAAATATTTCCTAGCTTACATAACTTTTTCACTGTTGCGATTTAAAGATAGAACTTTCTAAACTTGTCTTAATATCTACTCAACTGTTAAAATCTAACTAAATGAGTTATAACATCTCCAATTATAAAAGCATGATTCCAAAAACGGAAATATGACATGAATATGTGCAAAGTTATACATTAACTTCGTTTCGAAATCTTTAGAAAGTGACTTTTAAATCTGCTTACTTGTGATTGGTTTACGGGTGCATGTCATTAATTTTAACTATTCTATTCAACCTCTACCCAATCAACCAATAAGAACATCTCCTACATATGGCATTGATTCACAGTGAATGATTACACCATAATTCACTAAATATGGATGAATTCATTGGAAGTTGGAAGCTAACGTCCAGTTGTGGATTTGAAAAACTTATGGAAAGATTTGGCTTGGAATATGTTGTTCGCAAAGGTATACTTGTGGCTAAACCTGTGATAAAAATATCGGAAGTCGCCGACAGTCCTGGAACATATTGTATAAAAACAACCAATGCCTTTCGCATTACTGAGGGGAAATTTCGGCTGCAGGAACTATTTTTGGAAACGCCACTGGACGGTCAATGGGTCTTGAGACAGTGCCAAGTTGGGGAGAAAGTCACAGACGTTGAGAGGAGGATAATAGACAAGAACACAATGAAGACTGTACGTTCAATTGCTCTAATGTGTCTATATTTAATGCAAAATAATTTATTGACATAATTCACGTTAGGTTAAATTGATTATTCCTATTTCTTATAATTGAAGATATCTATTTATTTATCTCAGATGGCAGGCGTTTTGATAGTAACCATTAGCACTTTAACCAACTTCGGGCTTCACAGAGAGAAGGAAGAACATCAAAGTGACAAAATGTCGAGAGGGGAGGGACAGAATAATGATTTACAGATGTGAAAGAGACCGACACACAAAGGCAGAGAAAAGGTAAGATGATTACTGTGAAAGGAATCGAATATGACAGACAGTCAGGTCATAGTAGTTTGAAGTTAGAAGTCAATTGCCGATAAATGGACTTTTTTGCCGTATAAGTATACGTTGCCCAGGGTGCACCACATGGAGGTAAGTCTATCGTACACCCCATAATTGAAGAAATAATATTACAATCCATTCAACGGTAACACTCTGGCTTTTAAAGCCTATACTTATAAGGCATCTCACCTTACGAAATTTACAAGTTACTTTTCAATTGTTTCAAGTCGATTTTCTTTTTAAATCAATATGTATATAATAATAAGATAATAAAATTTAATTTCTACATGTATTATTCAGCCATATTAACTGCGCAATTATGGGCATTATTTCGAGGTTAACTTATTCAAGATATATATTCTCAATGGTTAATATTCATATAAATTTGAATTTTATGTAAAATTTGTGAAAATTAAATTGGTACTGTAAGAATCGTTTTATTTCCTAAACCCCCAAGAGATGGACCAATGCATAAAGGTGTAAAATGTTTAAAATTGCTTTGAATTCTCGTAATTTTATGCATTAATTTGATTTTTTTGCTGTTATTTGTGCAGATAATTGTAGGTTATTATTGATGGGCCTAATACGTTTTCCTTAAAATTCATACAGTGCTATAGGATTTAGGAGTTCGTCTAAAATAATATTTACACAATGAATGAAATCTATGCTCTTTTTGAAATGTGTCACCCTTGGGTATTGAATTTACTTGCTAATTCAAGTTGAATTAGATTTAAAACGTTTATCTTCAAAAAATTTACATAATAATATTTGAAATACTGATAACATGGGGATTCAAATGGGCTTTGCAAAGTCATTTGCATGATCACTAAATCAAAGATAAATAGAATAGTGATTTGCCACAAATTTACATTTTCGTAGTCCCATGGTTAGTGATATTGTATTTCTTGTATGCAGCCTTAATTTTATTGGTCTGTCAAATAGTTGTAGTTAAATTGTTACTTTCGTTTGGTCACCCAGTTGACAATAATTTGACCGCTTTAGGTTTTCTCAAATTGATTGAACGAAAATTCCATTTTTTGAAATTTGCTCAAGTTTGCAAATTAGTTAGTAGTTTTTACCATAAAGATAAGTTGACATTTTGTTATGTTTAATCACATGATGTAATGACTTTTTTAATGATTGGGAAGTAAATAGAGACTTTTGCAAAATAATTTCATGTTCGTTATTAGTAAACGTTTAAAAAAAAAACACTCAAAGAATTATTAGTTTTAATATTCGTGATGAATCTTGCATTAATTTTATCTTGTTAAGTCATGATGGACAAATTTTGATAAATAAGCACACGTAATTAATTCCAATTTCAAAAAATTAGAAACGCGATACATAAATTGCTCAATAATTGACAACACGCCATGCAAGATAAAATAAAACTGCATATACATTTATAAATAGATGAATTACTACTCGACAAGGCTGGTGTTATTTCGTTGTCTGTGGTAATTCAGTTTTGGAAATCTTTCAATGTATCAGCATATTCCATATTGGGTCTCTTACGGATTGCATTTTAACCTTTTTTGGTGTAGTTATTAATACCTTATTGGTATATGGGCTTCCTTTCGTCTATGTGTGTAACTTCGATCGTTGCCAACGTTGATATACTTTCCTTTTGGAAAGCACTAAGAGTTCTTTCCATTTGTTGTCGAGTTCGCGGTGTCGAGGGAAATAAACGTACATTTACATTCTCCCACGTACAGTCATACCATTTTTATTAGATTCTCACTATCTTAGGATAAGTATGCATGACAACATAAGGAAAAGAAATCAATTATTGTTTTCACCCAATAACCTCAGGTTAGGATATAAATCTTCTTTCCTCCTCACCATTAACCAAGCTCGACACTTGAGGATAGGTAAAATATGGTCCAATTGTTTATTGACTTTATTTGCATGATAACGTGGACATACAGTGATGGAAAGGAGTTTATGCCCTGAATGACTTTTAAATAATGATTAGGAGCTTCTATTAAAGAGACTAATCGAAATTCCTTTGTGTCGATTATAAAACGTGCTTATACATTTTAATAATTTCAACAGCTTCTATTAAAGAGACTAATCGAAATTCCTTTGTGTCGATTATAAAACGTGCTTATAC